ACATCTTTGCAGCATCCTTGAGCACGGGTGAGGTCCTGGAGGACTGGAGAATTGCAAATGTCCCCTTGTTTAAGAAGGGTAGCAAGGATAATCCAGGAAATTATAGACCGGTGAGCCTGACGTCAGTGGTGGGGAAGCTGCTGGAGAAGATACTGAGGGATAGGATCTATTTACATTTGGAAGAAAATGGGCTTCTTAGTGATAGGCAGCATGGTTTTGTGCAGGGAAGGTCATGTCTTACCAACTTGATAGAATTCTTTGAGGAACTGACAAAGTTGATAGATGAGGGAAGGGCTGTAGAGGCCATATCCATGGACTTCAGTAGGGCATTTGATAAGGTTCCCCATGGTAGGCTAATGGAGAAAGTGAAGTCGCATGGGGTCCAGGGTGTACTAGCTAGATGGATAGAGAACTGGCTGGGCAACAGGAGACAGAGTTGTCGTGGAAGGGAGTTTCTCAAAATGGAGAACTGTGACCAATGGTGTTCCACAGGGATCTGTGTTGGGACCACTGTTGTTTGTGATATACATAAATGATCTGGAAGAAGGTATAGATGGTCTGATTAGCAAGTTTGCAGATGACACTAAGATTGGAGTAGCAGATTGCAGCAAAATATAGATAGATTGGAGAGTTGGGCGAAGAAATGGCAGATGGAGTTCAATCCAGGCAAATGTGAGGTGATGCATTTTGGAAGATCCAATTCAAGGGCGAACTGTACGGTAAATGGAAAAGCCCTGGGGAAAATTGATGCACAGAGAGATCTGGGTGTTCAGGTCCATTGTACCCTGAAGGTGGCAACGCAGGTGGATAGAGTGGTCGAGAAGGCATACGGCATGCTTTCATTCATCGGACGGGGTATTGACTACAAGAGTTGGCAGGTCATGTTACAGTTGTATAGGACTTTGGTTCGACCACATTTGGAATACTGCGTACAGTTCTGGTCGCTACATCACCAAAAGGGTGTGGATGCTTTGGAGAGGGTGCAGAGGAGGTTCACCAGGATGTTGCCTGGTATGGAGGGTGCTAGCTATGAAGAGAGGTTGAGTAGATTATGATTATTTACATTAGAAAGGTGGAGGTTGAGGGGGGACCTGATTGAGGCCTACAAAATCATGAGAGGTATAGACAGGTTGGATAGCAAGAAGCTTTTTCCCAGAGTGGGGGACTCAATTACTATGGGGCACAATTTCAAGGTGAGAGGGGAACAGTTTAAGGGAGATATGCGTGGAAACTTCTTTACGCAGAGGGTGGTTGGTGCCTGGAACGCGTTGCCAGCGGCGGTGGTAGAGGTGGGCACGATAGCTTCATTTAAGATGTAAAACCAAACAGGTACATGAATGGGCAGGGAGCAGAGGGATACAGATCCTTGGAAAATAGGCGACAGGTTTAGATAGAGAGGATCTGGATCGGCGCAGGCTTGGAGGGCTGAAGGGCCTGTTCCTGTGCTGTAATTTTCTTTGTTTGTTCTTGACCACTTGTTTCATGATTGGCCCCTACTTAATACAATATTTTGATCAGTACATATAGTTAATGCAATATACAAAATGATTTCTTCAGCTGTGTTAGTATTAAAATAGCTTCATTGTTAGTTATTACTTTAAATATAATCTAACCACTGCACATTTAACCACGAGGAAGAATTCAGGATAGTTTCCTGAAATATGTTGTGGATCAAACTAGGAATCGGACTATTTGCATCTGGTAATAATGAAAGTTTAATACATGAACTAAGAATAAAAGATCCCCTAGGAATCAATAATCATAGTATGGTAGAATTTAGTGTTCAGTTGAGTATGAGAAACTTTGGTCAGAAAGAACTATGCTACACCTAAATAAGATTTAAATACATGGAAATGAGGGCAAAGTTGGCTTGAGTGAACTGGGAAAGGAGTTTAGTAGAAAATACAGTTGATGAACAATAGTAGACTGCTTTTTTCAAAAAAGTCTATGATTGGCAGCAATAATATATACCGGTGAGGAAGAAACATCCTAGAAAGGGGATAAACCGAACATGGTTAACCAGGAAAGTTAATGACAGTATCAAATTGAAAGAGAGAACCTATGCAATGCAGTAAAGATTAGAGGTGAATCCAAGGATTGTGAGGATTTTAAAAAAGGTGACCAAAAAGAAAGAGAGAAAAAATAAATAGGGAAAATTTGCAATTAACATAAAACTGAGGGTAAGAGCTAATTTAAAAAAAAAACAAAGAAAAGGAAGAGCGAGGTAAGAGTGAACACAGGCCCTCGGAGAATGAGACTAGGGAAATAATAATGGGAAGCCAAGAAATGACAGAACAGTTTAAGACACTTTGCCCCAGTCCTCGCTAATAGCATTCCAGAAGTATGAAATAATCGAGGGGCTAAAGGAGGGGAGGATATAAATACAACAACTGCCACTAGAGAAAAGATACTCCAAAAGCTAATGATGCTAAAGACTGATAACATCCAGGGGATTTATGGGATGCATGCTAGAATATTAAAAGAATTAGTTACAGAGATGGTGAGTGCACTGGTAGTAATCTTTCAAGAATCCTTAGCTTCTGGAATGGTCTCAGAGTTGAAAAATTGCCAATGTAGCACTCCTACTCAAAAAAGAGGGAGAGAAAAAAAAAAAGCTAACTATAAGCTAGTTAGCATGAACTATATTAATGTGAAAATGTTAGTCTATTCTGATGGAAGTAATAGCAGACCATTTAGAGACACATAATCAAGCAGCCAGCATGGCTTCATGAAGGGGAAAGATGTTTGGCAAATTTATTAGTTCTTTGAGGAGGTAACAAGCAGAATAGATAAAGGGGAACCATTGAATATATTGGGTGATTTCTAAAAGGCATTCAATATAATGTCACATGTTAGGTTGCTTAATAATACAAGAGCCCATGATGTTTGAGGTAGTATATTAGAACAGGTGGAGGATTGCTGAACTAACAGAAGATAGAGTTGGAATAAAGGGGACAGTCAGTCAACGGTGCCTGAATTAAAATTTTAAACAAAGCTTTCTAGTTAACTATCATTTTCTGACTGGTGCATTTCCTCTACCAATCTGAGTCCACTTGCTAACAAATCAACACTCTCTCTTGAAGTACTTCTTTGAAAATTACTTAAGTTTATTTTTAAAAGATGAATGCAGTGTTTTTTTTTTAAAAAGAAGATTTATTCTATGAAACAAATGAAATAAGAATGCTTGTTCCATTATATAACAAGACTGAATTACATTTGGTGTCTAGACATTGTAGCACTGAGATATATCCTTCATATATTCACACAAATAACATGTATTGTGGTTTCGAAACACCACAGGTTAAAATGTTGGTTAGACAGAATCCAGGCATATGCTTTAATTAAGTCTTGTGTTGTATTCCAAATCTGGCATTGCAAAACAGCAACACATTCGTTACTTGTTCCAATCTATGTATAAAGTCCTGTTCTTGGCTAACGATCTCTAAATTAATTTTAAAAATTGTCTGTTCCTGGTTCCATTTGGTTTTAAGTGTCCCTGTCAGACCCTCGTGGATGGTTAGTGGTTTTGGTTCTTTATGTTGTGGCATCATAATGTTCAACTGAAATAATCTGAGTCAGAGCTTATTATAAATGTCAGGTGAAAGTTAAACTGCTTACAGTTTTACATTTCATAGCTTTTATAATCACAATTTAGCATAATTTTAAGAACAATGGAATAATTGTAAAGCATGCATATAAAACTTTAAGATTTGGGTTTGTTTGCTTCTTTTCAATCTAATTCCATATTGCTTGGAAATATTGTTTTCTTGGCATGAACCATGAACCATAAACCAGACATTTGGATATGAACTTCCAATCTCATACTGTCTACATTTCATAAGGTATAATCTCTTAGTCTTTTATTTAATACATCAAAATATTTTAAAAGTTTTAGGGAAAGGGGAAATTAACCATAAATATGAGAATTTTTAATTCACCAGTTGGGTATTCGTGAGCCAAAGTAAAACAGGGCATAAAAACAAAGTTGCTGGAAAAGCTCAGCAGGTCTGGCAGCATCTGTGAAGGAGAAAACAGAGTTGACGTTTC